AGCAGAATTGGCAGGTCCGCCATTGGCGCCCTGTGCTTTTCACAGATGAGAGCAGGTTCACCCTGAGCAGATGTGACAGACTTGAAAGGGTCTGAAGAAGCCGTGGAGAACATTATGCTGCTTGTAACATCGTTCAGAATTACCATTTTGGTGGTGGGTCACTGGTGGTCTGGGGAGGCATATCCATGGAGGGATGCACAGACCTCTACAGGCTAGACAATGGCACCCTGACTGCCATTAGGTATCGGGATGAAATCCTTGGATCCATTGTCAGACCCTACGCTGGTGCAGTGGGTCCTGGGTTCCTCCTGGTGCATGGCAATGCCCAGCCTCATGTGGCGAGGGAATGCAGGCAGTTCCTGGAGGATGAAGGAATTGATATCATTGAATGGCCCCAAGGCTCGCCTGACCCTAAATCCAATAGAACACTACTGGGATATCATGTTTTGGTCCATCCGACGCCACCAGGTTGCACCTCAGACCGTCTAGGAGCTCAGTGATGCCCTGGTCCAGATCTGGTAGGAAATACCCCAGGACACCACCCGTTGTCTCATTAGGAGCATGCCCCGACGTTGTCAGGCATGCATACAAGCACGTGGGGGCCATACAAACTACTCAGTACCATTTTGAGTTGCTGCAATGAAATTTCAGCAAAATGGACTAGCCTTCTGCATAATTTTTTCACTTTGATTTTTGGGGTGTCTTTGAATTCAGTCCTCTGTAGGTTGATAATTTTAAATTCCATCGAACGATGGGACATCCTTACATTCCTAACACATTACCCAGCCCACATCAGTATAGATATCCAGCATGAGATTTTTCCCCATTGAGATCTGGTGTGTTTTCAAAGTGTTCCTTTAATTTTTTTGAGCAGTGTAATTTCCTATGGATCTAGTTCAAATCTGTGCGTTTTGAGACGTGTTTTTTTTTAATAGGTTAGGGACTTTTTTTTCCCACAGGAGATTGTGTTTTGCGTGTAATAGACTTCAATGGACCCGCACCAAAAATGCAAGTATTGTGTTTTTTATGCATTTTGGGGTTCTTTTTGCCAATAGGAAAAGTATTGACTTTGATGTGACTTTGGATGGGCGTGAGTTTGATGCGACTTTACATTCTCTGGCACTCAAGTAGCATGAAAGTAACATCAAAGTAGCCCTACATGAACAGAGCTATCATACTTTCCTATTGGAAAAAAAGTTGCATCGAAGTCAATACTTTCTTAATGGCAAAAAAAAAAAAAAAACGCAAAATGTGTTTTTCAAAACCCCAGTGCAAAACGAGGCATAAAAACGCATCAATCGCAATGCGCAGAGGTGTGAAACTTAGCCTCAAGCTGACCATCAATTGAAATTCAGCTAGTTCAGCAGGGATTGCTGGAATTTCAATCCACGTATGGACAGGGAGGTTGCACGGAAGTCAAAACTACCAATTGACTTTTGTACCACCGGTGTATTGGAAATGTTCCGCACAATCAGTATTCTGATGGTGGCAAGTCTTCCTACTGTCAGAACACAATAGCTCAATGGAAGTGATTCCCTCATCTACCTCGAATATATGGATGGGGGAATAGGATAATTTATTTTTTCATTCAACCTACTGGTTGAACAAAAAAAAAAAAGGACTAATGTATGGACTGTCTCAGGGTCACCATACATTTGGTTTGCCAAAATGATGTATTATGGGGACCTACCTAATCTATCCAATCAAATTGCATCGGATCAGGCAGGCCCTTGCACCACATAGTCATTGGTAGGTATTTTCAAACAAGAGAATCTTGGTAAAACATTGATGGAAAAGTCCCGGTGGGTTTAACTGGCACATAAATTAGGGTGCATTTTTTGTGCTTTTGGCCCTAAAAAGTGCCCCTCTTTCCATTATCAGAAAGCCGGGAGACATTCTCCCTGAGAAACAACGTTGTGCGGAGAACTAGGCGTTGCGGTCTTCTCAGGGTTAATCGCTGTGTGTTTTCTATAGCAGGGATAATCTGTGTGTTTGGGCTGAGTGCTAGATGAGCTTGCAGGTCAAAGCTCCCCCCCCCCCCCCCCCCCCCTGTTGAGCTTGCAGGTCCTCCCCCCCCCCCCCCCCCCCCATCCATCTGTAATCCAGGCATCAGCTGATTGTGTAGGAGACTCCACATTGTCCTGAGCTCTCGGCTCCCATCTGCTAGGAGGTGAGCCAACTCTGGAGTGCAAGCCTGGGGGAACACAGGCTGCCATGCCCAGGTATTAACCCCTTGTGCTAAACTCTACAGCTGCCCATACCCTGATTGAAATTCAGCAGGGACCAGCAAAATCTCGATCAATGTACGGCTGTTCCTCCTTGATCATTTGATCAACTTCTGCCGAAGGGACGCGTTGGAAAACTGTTATCGATCAAGGATGCCCCTTGTTGGCTGGAACATGCTGTGTGATTCCTGTGCGACTCAGTGTGCAATTTTCTTTTTTATTGGCATGGTCTAAAATTAGACTGGATCGCAAAAATGCACTGCACAAATCGCACAGTACTGCGATGGCACTGCATTTGCGATCTGCGTTTGGGGTGTCGGTAGCAATATATAGACCCCAGCAGCAGATCACACTCCCAGTGCGTTTCAAACAGTGCTGGAAACTCGCACAAAACCTGCCTTCAGGTGTGAACGAGCTGTAAAGTAGATATAAAATCCTAATTAAATTTAATTTCATCTGTAAAAGCATTGTCTATCATTAATAACCGTCATTGCTGTTAAAATGGTACAAAAGACCAAAAAAATGGGGGGGAAATAGGCAAAGGGAAAAAAATGGACTTTAGAGGCACAGAAACCATAAACACATATCAGTAAAATACCTGCTCCCCAAAAGGTGCCAAAAATGGCAGTGGAGGGGGAGAGCAGGCAAACAAGCAGAGCCTCCATTTTTGGGTGGCACTCCGCTTTAAAGTGTTACTAAACCCAGGAGTGTACATTCATTATATCATTTCTTCCACAGTACAAAGAACATAGCTGAGCTCCGAGGAAGGGGGCTTGTCTCCTGAAACGCGTCAGTCTATCCTGAGGACACATTATTGCATTGACTGTCATTGCGGACCACTCATTCTGTTTTTAATTTCCATTGGTTTGTGAGTATATATCCATTTTTCTACACAATAAATACGTGGTGTAGCACGGTAATGCACAATGAGAGTGCTCCCTTGTCTGCTTTTGTTCACTAAGGTACAGGGGTCAGTATCATGAAACATGGAGGGTGAAGAAATCAGTAGCATGTAACGTGCAGGGGTAAGGATTACTTAAAACACACGGTGCATCAGTCAGTAGTCTGTAACATGCAGAGTGCAGGGGTTAGTAGTAAGTAAAGTGAAGGGGTCAGGAGTATGTAATGTACAAGGTGCATGTGGATCTGAGTGCAGGGGTCAAGAGTATGTAATGTACAAGGTGCATGTGGATCTGAGTGCAGGGGTCAAGAGCATGTATCCCTACCTCCACGCACAAATCCTTCACCCCTAACAAAACCACACCCTCAGCTTCCTAAAAATCAGAACAGCATCAAGAAAACCACTCCTCACCTCTCTCAGCAAACCCCTCCCCTTAAGAAAACTCTGTTTCACCCTAGTCTGCAAACATTACCCACTCAATGTGCCAAAATCTCCCCTGCAGCATAAGGATTCCCCCAGCTCAAACATACATGCCCACCAAAACATCTCTTCTTTCCCAAACTAAAATCCCCACTGGCCAGTACTGACCCCCCCCCCCTATTCTCCACAATAGATACCCCCAGTCACAGGTGCTAGCAACACCCATGATCTTTTTAGGCTCCATGCACACTAACGTTTAGCATTTTGTGAGTTTCAGCGTTTAGGAGCAGAAAAAAAAATTTTTTTTGTAGGTTTTTGGGGAGTTTTTCCAGCAGAAAAAAACGCTAAATGCTCTTAAATGTTGCTAAACACTATGAAAAACGCTCCTGATAGCTTTTTCACTGACGGGGGAGAGACCTGTATGTAAACAATACAGTTCTCTCCCCTGTCAGCTCCTGTACACTGCTTTGTATGGCTCTGCATAGCAGAGTGGAAAGCACATACACAGCATACTGTGAAACCGCACACAATTAACCCTTTGATCACCCCACATGTTAACCCCTTCCTGTCCAGTGCCAGTGCTTTTTATTAGCACTGATCACTGTATTGGTGTCACTGTGGATGTCAGTGACACCAAGTCAGTTCCCCCCCAGTGTCAGAATGCTCGCTGCAGTCCCGCTATAAGTCGCTGATCATTGCCATTACTAGTAAAAAAAAAATTAATTCTAGTATATATACCGCCACTTGTAAATGCTATAACTTTCACGTAAACCAAGTAATTTACACATATTGGGGGGGTTTTATTAGCAAAGACATGTAGCAGAATAAATTTTGGCCTAAATTTATGATGAAATTTGATTTTTTTGTTATTTTTTTACTGGACATGTTTAATAGCAAAAAAGTCAAAAATATTGTTGTTTTTCTCAAAATTGTCCGTCTTTTTTTGTTTATAGTGCATAAAATAAAAAAAAGCACAGGCGATCAAATGCCACTGAAAGAAAGCTCCATTTGTGGGTAAAAAAGGACATAAATTTAATTTGGGTCAGTGTTGCACGACCGCGCAATTGTCAGTTAAAGTAACTCAGCGCCGTATAGCAAAAAATGGCCTGGTCAGGAAGGGGGGTAAATCCTCTGGAGGGCAAGTGGCTAAAGAAATACTAGTGTGTATGGAGCCTTAAGGTGTAAACAAATCCTCCCCGGTCATTTGCATTAACTATAGGAATCTAAGTAGATATCATTGCAGACGTCCACAAGCTGCCATTTGTATCGAAGCTCACACATGAATCCACTTGCTTCCTACTTCCGGAGCCCTGCACGGGAGGCTCTTCCTTCTATAACCACGTCAGTCTCAGAGTTATAATAAGAGAAATGCTGCTGGGAACAGCAATGAGCTATTCACATGAGTATGAACTGAAATTTCTACAGGAGCTCTGTATGCCTAAAGCATACAAAAGCCCAGAGGCGGACTGACAACTCATGGGGCCCCTGGGCAATAGGGGATCATGGGGCCCCTGTGTCCTTGCCCACACTCAAAAAAGCCTATAAAAAAGGTACCAGGGGCATCTCATGGGGCCCCCTACTGACCCCGGGCCCTCGGGCAGTGCCCGAGTGCTCGATTGGTCAGTCCGCCCCTGCAAAAGCCCCTATACAAGAAATAAATATTTTATTTTTTTCCCCTTTCACAAAATCATATCTACAGGCTGATTTAAAATCCCATTATTATTATTATTATTATTATTACCACCAAAAAAAAATACAAAAAGATTTGTGCAGCTGTTATACAGTAGATCCATAAAAAGAAGAGCTGTCCTTAAAGATTATGTATACCGAACATTTCATATTTCTGATATGTGCCTTCTGTAACATGTATTTGTAAATAAAACTCCTCTTCCCTTTGTATTGCTTCCCTGGTATGAAATCCCTGGTGTTCCAGCCAGTCCCTTTGCTTTCCTATTAAAAACTGACCACATCAGGCAGGAAAGCAAAGCATTGTCAGTTCTCTCAGGGCTGTCTTAATGCTTGGGCGCCCTTAGGCACTATCCAAGGGCCCCAGGTGCATGAGGTCCCCATGATAATTCTGCATTACATCATACTTGCCAACTGTCCCGAATTTTCCAGGACAGTCATGGTTTTTACTAAGCTGTCCCAGGTTGGTGGGTATTAGTCTTTGATTTATGGTACATTTTATTATTGTTTAAAATTGATTTTATTAAAAGTACTGATAAATATATGTTTAGTTCTATCAACTATTTATAATTTAATTCTTGAGAACAGGTGCATAAATTGGAGCATGCTGGTAAGGACTCCAGTGCATTACTTTACCCAGGGGCCCATGATGCTATTAAGACGTCCCTGAGTTCTCTAACTGTGCCTGCTCTTCTCCAATGAACAATGTGTGCTGACATGCCCCCTGCACAGTCATTCACTGGGAAGACCAATGTTCTGCTGTTTCTCATCCCTCACCTCTCTATGCAGATGAGAACAGATCACTTATTAAAAAAAGGGGGGGAGTGTTTATAATGTTTTTTATATCTATACACAAATGTTTTACCTTTCATTCCTATTTTAAACTGTATGGGTTCTTTTACAAGGTGAGGATTTCCATATACTTTAAATACTGGTGCTTATAATTATAATTTTCCCAGTAAATGAACAGTAGACATACAGTATCTGCTGGAATTGTACTGCTTGTATTTATAGTTCAGCATAGCATACACTTTTTCTTGCAATGATTTTTAATGAATCAAGAGCTAATTAGCATGAAATGCTGAGCGATAATTACAGCGGGAATACAGCTCGGTTTAACACAATCTGATGCATCAAGCCCCATGGGTCATAATCAGGACATTTTTTTTTTTTACTTAATAGAGAAAGTGGAAAACCCCTTTAACTTAATCAAATGTTTAATTCTACTCCCACTCTCCCAACTCCCAAAGGAGCAACATAGTAAAATGATGGAATTTTTATATTTGTCTTTTTTTTACATTTTACTTGGGGAGCAGCCCCTGGCCAGTGGTCTGGCTCTTCTGCATATAAGCTACAATCGGCCCTAAGTGCATTATTGATTGGAATTTCTACAAAGTAGGAAAAGTGTTGTGATGTTTAAAAGCTTGCTCAGGATAAGAGCTGGATGGAGAGACTACTGAGAGAGGACATTGCAGCTAGCGCATCAATATTTTATCGTGGAAAATAAAGATCAGCTCATTTGAATGACATTATTGAAGAGGGATACTGAATACAAGGGATAATTGTGGAAAGCTTAGTATGGCAGAATTCTTGTTGTCAGGAAATCATCAGCATTAAGATATCTGCAGAGTGGACAAGGTTATCTGATACATTCTTAAAGGAAACCTGTATCGAGAAAAAAAGAGGCTTTCGCTCCATATTTCCCTTCTGAAAATGCTTGTTAGCTGGCTGTCAATGGCTTTGCAAGTACTGACCCTGTGTACCATATATATGCTGCTGTTCCAGGTGGGTCCGCCACTGCAATCCTCTATACCTCGGGTGTCAGCTCCGTTCATCCAGCCATACATAGCAAACACAAATGGGATCCAAATAGCTGCACTTACAAAAAAATCATCCACTTTAGTACAAACATAAAAATGCCCAAAAAACCCAGCAAACCAGACACTGTGGGAGCAGGGGATAAAGTCAACACATTTTTTCATGTTGTGTGTAAGTGCTAGTTAGCATGAAATGCATCGACTTTATCCCTTGCTCCCACAATGTCTGATTTGCTGTTTTTTGGCATTTTTACCTTTGTAATAAAGTGAATGATTTTTTTTCAGAAGAACTGATCCATTGTAGTGAGTGCACCTTATGAATATTGTGGCTCAGAATCAGTGACTTAAAGTGTTACTAAACCAAGAACCTGGCCTTCACTATATCTGGTCTCCCACAGTACACAGAACGTGGAAATGCAATTATTGTAGTAAATATAAACTGCTAAATACCTTTTCTCATCAGCAGTTAGAGCAGTCTTGTGACTTCTATCAGTGTTCAGCAGAGCACTGGTTAAAGCTTGTAGGAGGAGTTTTCTTTATGCTCTAGGTCACAGGGGTGGGCAACTGTGGCCCTCCAGCTGTTGGTGAACTATAAGTCCCATCATGTTTCTGCCTTTGGGAGTCATGCTTGTAACTGTCAGTTTTGCAATGCCTAATGGGACTTGTAGTTCTAAGACAGCTGGAGGGCCACAGTTGCACACCACTGCTCTAGGAGGATGCAAAACCCCTATTTTAGTAAATTTAAACTGCTAAATAGCTTTTCTCATCAGCAGTTAGAGCAGTCTTGTGACTTCTATCAATGTTCAGCAGAGCACTGGTTAAAGCTTGTAGGAGGAGTTTTCTTTCTGCTCTAGAAGGATGCAATACCCCTAATTTAGTAAATTTACTCTGCTAAATAGCTTTTATCATCAGCAGTTAAAGTAGTCTTGTGACTTCAGCAGAGCACTGGCTAAAGCTTGTAGGAGTTTTCTTTCTGCTCTAAGAGGATGTGAAAGTCCTGACCCTCTTTCTGGACAGTGCTGATTGGCCCTGTGCTGATCACATGCACTCTCCAAAGTAAAAAAAAAAAAAACCTCTTTAGCAATACACACTAAACTGAGCATGTGCAGAATGGCTACGGGTTCAGTCTGTCTTATCAGGAGATAAGACATGGATATTTAAACAAGAGGAGGGGCCGAGAAGTCAGGATCAAATGGCCTTTTTAACCCTTTACGTCACCTTAGATTGTACACCCCTTGAGGGTTAGGGACTGATGTGAATGTACAATATATATGTGTAAAGCACTGCGTAAATTGACAGCGCTATATAAGTACCTGAAATAAATACATAGGTTCCACAGTGAGTATAACAAGCATGCTTTACTGCATATACAGACTGATTTTACTGTTGTGAGTTTAGTAACACTTTAAAAGCATACTGAAGCCACTGGATTAGCATGACAGCCAGGAAACAGGTACAAAATGGCAGCATCCATTAAAATATGACAAATAGGAAATTAGTATTTTCAGAGGCAAAGGTCAGCAGTGACAGCATTGATCATTTTCAGCTACAGGCTCCCACTGTCACAGCTCTGTTCTGTGTAGTATCTAATCTACTATGGGCATGTCTTCTGCATTGCAGGGCGCACTGCCTTAGGTGTTATGCCCCAGCACTGTCATTTTGGCAATGGGGAAGGTATAAAAAACTGGGCCTTCAGAAAGTTGCTACTTACATAGGATTTTCATAGGACTCCAGTGGTGCTTGAAAGACAAAGCCGATGTATGAAATGGAGAGAAAAGACAAAAAAGTGTTTTTTTTTTTCCAGCAACCAGTCATGTGTCGGCTTTTATTCCCCAACCTGCACTGGGAAACACCTACAATCTTAATAGTACAATATTCCATAATATGTCACTTTGAATTGGTGTTTTATGAAATCACCTGCATCAGGACTGAGACAAGGCGGGCCATCAGCTGAACTACAGTTGTAGAAGTTGTACCAGCAACAATGTGACAGCTTTAGGGACTAGGTAGGATGGCGGTAAACCTTACATGGAATATATTATTGTTTTGTATTTATGTTCTTTTGTATTTGGCAGGTAAAAATGAAACATTGCATATGAATATTTTAAATTTTTTTATATCCAGCCAGCAGGTGTAGCTTTAGGCTCTTTTTTTTATATATTTTCCATGCTATCCTTATCCCCGGTTAAAAAGCCAGATGTTCACATAACTCAGTAACTCAAACTGAAGGCCTCAATAGCTCAAACTGAAGCAGCCTACAGCCACAGCCTACAGCCGCAAACGCTTTTAGGTGAATCAAGTGTTTGGGTATTCATTCATTCCATTGGCCAGGATATTCTGGCCATTTGAATCAATGAATGCTCAGGCGCTAAACGCACCTACTGTTTAGGCACGTTTACAGGTGTTTAGGCGCACTCAGTGTTTTTTCCTCTGAAACGCTCCTCTCTTGAATGTGAAAGTGATGTTTTTTTCTTCTACCTCTAACACTTCTACAAACATCTGTAAACACCTATTTGTGCATGAACAAATAGGCTAACACAGAGGGGTGTTTAAAGGCAGGAAGAAAAATCAAAGTGCCTGTAAAAGCACCGTTTTTGATGCCCAGTCTGCATGAGCCCAAAATAATCACACACAAGTTTATGAGATATCAATGAGAGACTGAATGTCTGAAAGCAAACATCCTTTGCTGTGCTCTCTTTAAAAGCCCATTGTGCTCCCATGCCATGGGTGTTATGGTATATTATATTGTGTACTGTATATATATATACAATATACAGTATATTATAAAGATATGTATATATTGTACATATACTGTGTATATCTATATATTTTATATAAAGATTTTATATACAGTATATTGTCTCTTATTTTGTGAACTGGACAATCCTTGAACTATTTGAGCCCACAAAAAGTCTGCAATTTATGTACACCATATGCACTTAACCAGAAACAAAATATGGCAGGTACTTACATGGGTGCAAAAATACTCTGCTGGATCCCCACATGTTATTCCAGGTGGGTCCACCTTAATTATGGCATACTCTTTCATAACAATCGGCTTTGGTTGGCAGGCGTAATATTCCCAGGATGGGCCGTCATCAGACGTTACCCAGGATTTACAGATGTCATA